GCTAATTTGGCTTAATTGATTTCTGGCCCTAAGGTTCTCTTGTTTACTGGGCACAGTCTTAATACTGTCCTTGAGTTGCATCAGTTAGACCCTTATGTTTAAACTCGTCCAGTCTTTTTTATCTGTAACTATTGCTTTACTTGTGAAAGGTTAGGATGTTCTTGGTGTTTTTGTGCCAATGTGCCTTATAGTTATGACAGGTTATTAGGAATATGTGAGACAAGCATTTGTATAGAGTGGTTTGCCTGCCTTGACTGCTTGAAGTCCCTTCTAGCCCTTCTTTTCTATGATACCGTGATCAAGGTCAAGGGTCCATTAGAGCCTAAAAGCCCACTGAGCTGGTGTAGATAAGGTACTCCAATTTCTGTAGGCAATGGCACATGAGTAAATGACATGGCCAGTGTCACACCTGGCCACCTTTGACTCCCAGCCCAAATGACCAGGTACATGTACATCTTGATCACATGGGGGCAACCTTTGGCATAAGTACAGATCAGGACTTGAACTCACACCTCCAGAGTTGCAGTAAGATACCTTCACCACTCTGCCATGTGCCCCTCTGTATATAGTTTGAGTCATATTGGTACCTTCAGTTAAACAGAAGTCATAGGAAGATTTCAGCCACTTCTTCAGAGCTGACACTACTATTTAAGAACAACTGACTGCTTTTATGGTTTGTGCACCATCAAGTGTACTGTTAACCAAGTATTAATGACAGAACCCCCAGTGTTCAAATTAATTGTTCACTTACAACTGTTCAACTGTATAGCCTTCAGTGAGATTGCATGGTTGAACCTGAGGACATAAATAGAGGACAACTGTACAACAAATGAGTAACACAGAGCCTGGACATTTACATCATTGTAATCAACCTTTATGCTGGGTAAGCAAGGAGCAGAGACAAGACATACACCTTTATGTCAGTGTACTTTACTTGCATCTGGTGCATTATCCCATGGGAAACGGCAGTGAAACTACAGTGGTGTAAGTTAAAGTGCTTGCAACTTATCCCTTGGATAGACATTTACTCAATACAGGTTATTATGAACTCTCCTGCCAAGTAGCAAGGCATTGTCATAGCCACCTATTGCATGCAGGTACCCTGGGAAAACTGAGAATCTGTCTGCTCCAATGTATACAAAATATCCCATCAGTATACAACACCAACCTAAAAATTACACCACTATAAATATACTGTTTCCTTCAGGTCCCAGACACTTTTGGCTGGCTTGATATTTATTCCTGTGGCAGATGCATGTGTCAGAAATAACAGAATTACACTTTCAGATCTCAATTTGAGATCGCACGACTGGAACTTGTAGGGCAGGGAGAGAATCATTCAATAAACTGTATGCGTTTGATACTGAAATAAGTGGATCACAACAAATAAGAAACATGATGGGGTTTTTTGTTTATTTTAAACAAAACCATTTTTCAAAGTAGAACTATGCTTTAAATTTCATAGTTTCATAGTTGGTAGGGTTGGAAGGGACCTGAGCAGATCATCAAGTCTGACCCCCTGCCATGGGCAGGAAAGAAAGAAAACTGGAGTCAAACGATCCCAGCCAGGGGATTATCTAGCCTCCTTTTGAAGACCCCCAGGGTAGGAGCGAGCAACACTTCCCTTGGAAGTTGGTTCCAGATCCTAGCTGCCCTGACTGTGATAAGGTGTGGTCAGTTTGAAAGCCGTGCCGTTAGAAATGGTTCATATTGATTGATGCATTTCATAAAAGAGAGCAATCTGTTTTTTAGTAATCTTGATGCAGTGCAGTGGAGTATTATTTAAAAACAGTGTTCACTGCCCCAGGCACCCGATTTTCTGTCTTCACTTCCAGTGAATATTATAGCAAATAAATTATACCTAGCTCTAAAATAACCCTATGAACCATAGAATTCAAATGAATTTGATGATAGGAGTGCTCATCAAAAGAGTGAATTTTATATACTGCAGAATATTCAAGAAAAATCAATCCCGAATTCTTAGTCATGGCTACTTGAGTTAGAAACCTGATTCTGAGGATTGGACTCATCTAATCAAGGAGCAGAAACAGAACAACTCCCCAGCAGTCAAGAGAAGGGAACCCCTGTGAGCCCAATCAAAACAGTCTGAAATTTAAATCTTCACAATAACATGCCTAATAAGGTGTTTCTAATAAAGGTTGAGGCCAGGCCAGTTATTCCTGAATGATTCAGCTGAGAGACTTCACCTAATAGTGATGACCTAACCAGAGTATCGCAGGGCACTTCAGTACCCTGCTCCTAGTGAATCTTGAACTTAAGGGGGGAGGTATGTCGCAGGGCACTTTGGTGCCCTGTGCCTTTAAAGAGGTATAGGTGCCTGTTGCTGGGGCAACCGCAGTTTGGTCAGCTGACCGGAAGGGGGCAGGGCCTGACCTATATAAATGATCCACGCTGAGGCCAGGGAGGCAGTTCCCTGCTAGCAGCCAAGGAAGAAGGAGCTCTGCTGGAGTATGCAGCGTAGACAAGCCTGATGGCCTGAGCAGCTTCAGTTCGAGGATACCGGGTGGAGAAAGCCCTGGTAGGGATTTGAATGATGATTAGCCAGGTGGCTTAGAGTTTACGTTTTAGCCAGGAGGCTTAGTTTTGAGTTATAGCCGATTGGCTTGCGTTATTGCTTTTGTTGTTTGTTGTTACACGGGAGGACCAGGTGAGGCTAATAGGGGCTGAAGGAGACCTCATAGGGGCTCCACGGTAGTGTGGGGACGCCAGTGCCAGAGAAGGCACAACATTCAGGGGTGCACGGACCCCAGCCCTGAGAAGGGGCACAGAGGATTGGGGTCCAGGTAAGGCCGAGGCTGCCTGAGCCCCACAGGAACTTTTAGGCCTGAGGAGGGGATTCAGGGGCCAGGCACAGCTATGGCCACCTGAGCCCCAATTGTGAGAAGCCCCAGAGGGCACTCGCTGCAAGACCCAAGGAGGGGATTCGGGGCCAGGCACAGCTACAGCCACCTGAGTCCCAATTGCAAGGAGCCCCAGTGCGGGCACGGTCGCAGATAAGGCCCCAGTGCGGGCACGGTCGTGGATAAGGCCCCAGTGCGCATCTGTGAGGGCGCAGGCGATTGAGACAAGCCAGGGAGTGTCCGTGAGGGTGCAGGCCATTACGTGAGGGTGCCAAGGGGAGAACTGACAAGACAACGTCCGGTACATCTGCAAGGTTTGGGGCGTGGTATAGGGATGGTTGGAGCCACGTGTAGCCCTTAAGGCTCTAGTGCACGGAGTCATCTAAGACAGAGCACAGGCTTGGATACATCAGGGGTACCATGTCAAAGAGGACAAAAAGGCAGCCTCCTTTAACACTACTTACATCAAAGACGTGGCGGGCGAGATGGTGAGGGTGCATTGACACCAACTGGGCACGGTAGGGGGCGCTAGCAGAGATCACGGCCCCTCCTAGGACCCCGCCCCATGACACAGAGCATATTCTAGTCTTGGCTTATTATTGGTAAGCAATAAGGACAATGAAAAATAGCTGGCCATAGTAAATTACCTTAGACTGAGTGATCAGAAGTTGACTTAGTTTAATTTAAATAGAAACATAGATCTGTACCTAAGGTTTCTAGATTTCAAAAGGCCAAACTGAGAAATAAGGGAACCAGGTAGTGAAATCAACTAGCTCAAGGGTTTAGATATGATGACGACTTAGAATTTTAAGGGGAAGATCCAAAAATCTATCTAGAATACCCATCCCAACCATGTAGTAAAAGTGTGGAAGGAAGGGCCTTATGAGTTGAATAGCCACCTCAAAAAGGATATTTGACATAAATAGAAAGTCTCCCATGAGAAACAGAGATTGAAAAGCAAAGAAATCCTTGGGAGTCAAAGTCTAGGGATAAAGTAAGAATTACCAAAAGTCAAGATGCTTTAGACTTTACAATTTATATTAAGACAAAGAATAAAAGGCTCTCTACCCTCATAAATAAGACAAACAAGGAAAGGGAAGTGTGGTGAAGATGGCTGGAAATTAAAGATACTCTAAGTATGGCTCCAAAACTAAATGAATACCTGACTTCAGGACAGGATTAGCAGAAACAGGATAATAGCAAAAAGTGGAAGATTGCACTTCAAGACCATGGATTTCTCTAGCAAGAGACTTATCAATAGTAATTGATATAGGAGGAGAAAGACCAAGGTATATTAAAAATCCTATAATGAAGTCTGTACCACCAACGTAATGCAGCCATAACAAAGTAAGAGCAATGTTTCATTGAGTATTTTGGGGAGAAATAAGGTAGCATACATGGCATTATACAGGACACTGAGACCTTATCTAGAACAATGCAGACAGATCATTTTTGTCAAAGAAAAAACATCAGGGAAATAGAGAGCCTATCTAACAAGAAGCTTATGAGAGGAAACCTGGCTTTCACTTTCCTAAGTTAGACAAGCGGAGAGGGGCTACAATTCCTGTCTATAAACACAGATATAACAGGGAGACAGATGAACTATTAGAACTAAAAAGTATGGTTAGCACACAAATAAATAAGTCCTGGCCATGAATAAATTTTATTCTCAAAGTCACCTCTACATGTGCAATTAATTGTGATTAAAGTTACTGTGCATTAACCTAATGTGCAGTAACTGATTTTTGGCAAGTGTCTACATGTGCAGACAACTGGCACTAACGTTAGTACCAGTTCCCTCCACTACTGCCATGTCCTCCTGTGGCCACCAGGGGAAGCTCCAGGCACACAGATGCCAGCATTTGTCAGCCATGTTGGAGCTAGACGTAGCTGCCAACACTTGGCACTCATCTTTAAAACAGAGCTCCACACTGTGACCTCTGGACAGACACTTCCTATGATGAGGAAAGCAGCGTGGCAGGGACACAGCCAGCACATCAGCTCTGCTTTTCTGAGCCATGGCTGCCCCAGCCCTTGGCCCAGGCACCCAAGAACATAGTCCCCTGATCCTCGTGGCCACTGTGGCTGTCCTCATGCCATCACCAGCACCTGGCTCATGGTCACCTTGGTCCACTCAGCTCCCTGATCCACAGCAACCACCTGGACAATGGCCACCCCCAGGCACTCCCAGGGCCCCCACCACCACACAGTTGCTACCACCAGCCATGACAACCAGAGGCTCCATGACACCACTGCAGGGGTTGCCATTGCCCTCCTGGTCCTCCAGTCCCACTGCACCAGGTAGGACTGATGGCAGCATGTTGGGTCAGTGGGTTGGGCAGGACCAGAATATTACTCTGTTTTCTGCTGCGATGCAGGCGGTTGCCATGGGTTACGGTAACGTGGAACAAGAGTTTAACCCTCCCCCATGGGCATGGGCTAACTTAGAGGAAGCTATCTGCTGTCTTTATCAACTAGCATTAACTGAAATCATTCGAGCAGGAAACTGGAGGCACACTCTAGATGAAGAATTAGTGACGGAAGTCATGTGGAGGAAGCTCTGCCGGCAAGCACCAATGGAATGTACTTCAGCTCTGCTGGCCTTACAACAAGATTAGTAAATCACCCAGTAAGAAATGTGATCTGGCGGTTGGTACAGCTTCTGTCCACCTTGCAGAAGCTGGGGCTTCCCAAACCAATAAAAACTGCCAAGGCCATGGCAGTGGCCCCCAAGAAAGACGACCCGGCAGGGCCCCCCAAGTCTAGGAAAGTGGGGAATGGAAGATGTAAACCTCTGCGGGCACAGATGTGGAGGGAGTTACTGGCAGCAGGGTTCAATAAAGAGCAAATTGATGGGCTGCCCACCCCAGTTCTGCAAGGGGTACGGGCCAAACACTGCGAGGATGGGAAAGGGAAGAATATAGAGCCCTCAGCACCCCCCGCACCTCCAGCAGTAGGAGACTCAGCCAACACAACCCCCTCGAGCAAGGGGCCATCATGGGGGCAGTAGAGGATCGGGAACCGGTAACACAGAATAATATTGGCCCCTTAATTCAAGTTCCTATAAAGATTTGTCTAAATGGAAGGAAAAAAGTCAATTAATATGCTAATAGACACTGGTGCCCAGCTATGCATTTTGGACTGTGCAGAATGGAAAGGGGCACAGAGAACCCCCTACCAGGTACTAGGAGTTGGAGGTGCCAGACGACCAGGACATTTGGTCCAACCCACATTCACCTTGCCTAACGGCTCCGTAATAACAGCAGCTGCTGTAATGCTCTGGGGAGGGCTGAACCTACTGGGACTAAATGTGTTGCAAGGGCAGCAGTTTATTCTTAAACAGGAAACCTGGCAGTTTGGCTGTGCCACAGCCCAGGAAATCAAGCAGGAAGGTGTGATAACAGCGGTAGCCCCATGTTTTGTGACCCGGCTCGCCCTGCCAGCCATGAAGTGGGTACATCGACCTCAACACTGCATACCCCGCAAAGTGACACAACCCATCCAGGACATCATCAATTGGCAGCTGGAGGATAGAACCGTCATTCAAACTCATTCTCCATACAAAAACCCGGTGTGGCAGGTACATAAACCAAATGGGGATTGGCGATTGACTGTTGATTTTAGGGCTTTGAATGCCAACACCGACCATCTGACAGCCACGGTCCCATCCATGCCGGCACTGACGGAAAGCATTAGGTGCTATGACCCCCAGTGAATGGGATCTGTGGACATTAAAAACATGTTCTTTGCTACCCCCATCCATGAAAATCACTGGCCTTTGTTTGCCTTCACATGGCTGGGACAGCAGTACACCTAAACAGTCCTACCCCAGGGCTGGGTGTACAGCCCCACCCTGGCCCACGGAGTGCTAGCTGCAGTAGTCCATAAAGTCCAACTGAGTCATCTAGAAGTACATGTGTGGCAAGACATCAATGATGTCATGGTGCGAGGTCAAGGCCGGGAATTAACCATTTCTGCTTTTGAGTCCAAAAAGGAGAAAGTGCAGGCGTTTAGGTTCATGCTGTCCAGCAAAAAGATCTAAGAAGTCGGGCCCCAGTGTGAATTCCTGGGAATCCAATGGCAGCAAGGTGGACCCACCATACCGGCCAAAGAGCTGCAGAGTCTGGTAGATACTCCTGCCCCCAACAATGTAAAAGAGCTGCAGGCCCAGCTGGGTGCACTTAACTTCTGGCACCTGCATGTCCCCAAGTTTAGCATGTTGGCCCGGCCTCTGTATAATCTATGCAAGAAAAAAACACAGTGGGAATGGGGCCCCGAGCACCAACATGCTATGCGGGCCCTTGAGGGGAGCTCTGGCTTCATGTAAACGTGTCCAAAGGGGGACCCCACTGGAGCTTGTCGCAAAGGGACACAGCTGAGACAGAGGGAAAACCCCTTGGGTTTTGGAGCCTAGGCTGGAAAGGGGCTGAAGCCCGATACACCCTGCTAAAACAAATGCTGTGTGCAGCAGCCACAGCTTTAGCAGCCACAGAGGCCCTGAGAGGGGAGCTTCCCACTGTCATAACCACTCCGGTGCCCATCCTAGGAATGGCATTGTCAGACAGACACCTCCCACCAGGGGGGCGAGCCCAAGAAACCACAGTGCAAAAATGGGTATATTATACCTTCAGTCAAGCTCAGTGGGTAACCCCAAAGGGACATCCAACATTAGTAGAAAAGGTCACAGAGAGCACAATTAATGTATACCCAGACACAGCCAGCCTGGACAAGCAAAGGAAGCACCGCCCTTTTCACTCAACACGGAAACATCAGAAGACATAGAGGTCTGGTTTACCAACGGCTCAGCCAAAGGTCATACCTGGAGGGGAGCTGCCATATGAATCCGAGATGGTAAGCAACTCACCCTGGGGGGAGATGGCCAAAGTGCACAATATGCTGAGCTAGCCGCTGTAGTCAACATGGCTGAGTATGAACTGGTAGAGGGATCAGGACTCCCTACAAGGCCCATTTATATTTACTGCGATTCATGGATGGTAGTAGAGGGGTTGCACCAAGTGGCTACCCCTGTGGAAGATGGAAAACTTCAAAAGGTGGGGAAGAGACACCTGAAGCCGTGAAAAGTGGGAAGCTTTGTGGGAAATGGCACAGGGAGACCTTCCCTTATACATATGGCATGTTAGTGCACCACATGGGATGAGAAAGGCTGAGGGCCCTGAGGCAAAGTGGAACAGGCAAGTGGATGAGATAGCCAGAGGCAACACAGAAGCCCTTGTTGCTGAAGCAGAGGCTCAGCCACCCCCAGAGAAGGTGCCCGGCCCCTCCCTCTGGCAGACCTCTGGAGTTCTAGCCGCAGAATGGCTGCATTGGCAGCATGGGCACCCTGGCTGTGATGGCACTGCTCGCCTGGCTGCCACCTGGGGCATTCACTTAACTAAAAGGGAAGCGCAGGAATTAGTCAACTCCTGCTTCACCAGCCAGGAGGTCAAAGCTTGACTAACCCCTGCCTCGACTATCCCTTTGTTGCTGCACAATGGAAAGGTAATATGGAAAGTTTGGCAATGTGACTTTATAAGCCTGCTTCCCTGCACTCCCAGAAAGCGACAGTATGTGTTTGTAATCATAGAAGCAGTCACCGGAATGATGTTTGCCCGGGCCTATGCCAAGGCCACTGGGCGGGACACCTGTGCAGCACTAGGAGACCTGCTAGCCATCTACCCTCCTCCCATAGAGCTGCAAAGTGACAACGGTTCACATTTTTGTAATCATCTTGTCTATGAAGGGGTCGCAAGACATCATGTGTTGTGGACCTATCGCATTCCCTATCACCCGCAATCTAATGGGCTAGTAGAACGGGCCAATGGTATCCTAAAGTGCAACTTGCAGTTGGCTGCTGGCCCGGCCCTCAAGGACTGGGACTTGCACCTGAGTCACTCAGTCAACTGGCCAACAATCAGCCCCACCCCAGAGGAAGCCCCATGCAGCAAGTCTTTGGTCAGGGTGGACCTCATGTCAGCAGTGGAACGGCCAAGGTTTGGTTGGGGGACACTCCAGGCAGGAGACCAGGTAGTAGTTAAGCATCCGCAAGGGGGACAAATTGGAAGGGGTGCTAATGGCACAGGACATACATAACTCATGATGGGTGTCAAGTTTGGATCCATCTAATGGGAGCCAGATACCATTTTTCTTGTTCCTGCAGATTGGGTCCATCCGCAGGCACAGCCATAGTGGTCCCGAGGCAGCCTGGAATCATCACCCTGCTCCAGGGCAATGCCACCACCCTCACCTAACAATGAAGGGGTGGAATGCCATTATGATGGGACTGTTGGTCATTTGCTACTGTTTGATTATGGGGGGGCATTCACATGCTCCCAAGCCCTAGATAGCACCCACTGCCAAAGCCTCAGACACGCTGGGATACTGGGAACACCCAGCCACAATTGAAGAAATGCTAAACTGGCTTTTCAGTCGCTGACGGTGGATTGTGGACTGGCAAGGAGGAATCTGTCAATGTTACTGTGGGACAGGGTGGTTGCTCGGTTTCCTCCCATATGCCAAGATCAGGAAAAACAAGTATGATACAGGGGGAGATTGTTGTGGTTTCTTCCAATGGCCCTGGTGCTGTTATATTCTGCCTGCAGGTGTGCTGCCCACCCTGGGTCCTGATGTGACCACTGCTGCAACCCCACCTGCAGCTCAAAATTCTACAACCACCCGGAGCCCAAGGAGGCGACCAAAATCTCCAACCCCACCTCCACAGGAGACGATAGCTCCAGCAGTTCCCCTGCCTGATGACACTTTGGCACAATGGTGTACATCTCACCAAATACACCAGTCCTCCAGGTACAGCAAGGTACTCTGGTGGTTTAAAAATGGCTCTTATGCTGTCAAGTGCTGGTCCACGGAATGGGAGGCCAACACATCCCACGTTCCAGGTATTTTGTAGTTCCGCCATATGGATGAAGGGGGGCTCGCTCACGGAACTGAATACACAATAGCGGAATATCGCCAACAGTCTGGGAAAATCTGCAGGGCACCACCCTGGTCAACCCAGAACAACTGGCTGAGCCCTTGGGGGGCACTGTGCCACAATCATTTCTGCAAGATACCAAAGCCATAGTCGTACCTGGGCAGTGTGCATTTAAGTATACAGATGGGGACACACCTGACCGAATGCGCTCCTTTGACCAACCCGATTGGGAGATTTACCAATCCCAAAAGGAAGGAGGAAGATGGTTAAACACCCAAACAGGAGAACCCCTAGCCATTTTTTGCATTAAGCAGGGATGTACCTTGTTAATCCAAAAGGAGCCACCACAGGTGTATCCACTACCTCGCTTATCTAACATGGAGGTCCCAAACCAGGGCTCCAGTCCTCCTTAATGCCTCCTTGTTCAATGCCCGTATCACATTTAACCCCAAGAAATGGTTTGTCAGAACACCATTTCCTAACTGCTCTGCTGGTCCTCAGTTGGCAGAAAATACGCTGCGCTGGGCCTGACCAACTGTTTTCCAACCTGCAGACCAGCCTCAAATCGCCTGGAAAAAGAGGGATACCCTAGACCATGTGTGGAATGGGCTCAACTCAGCCATGGGAGTTTGGAACATAGATAAATCCCAGAAAAACACCCAAGGAATCATGGATATATGGTGAGCCATAGGTTTTCTCACTAAGGGAGGTATGATTAATAACGTGGCCTTAGAATACACTGATGAGTTAGTGGCAACCATTGGCCAAAAACCAGCACAAATAAGTCACCTTTTGATGCATGCAGCCTTCAAAACTGATGCTAATCAAACCTGGAGCACTGCTTGTGCCCAAGTGCAGCTTTCACTTAACCTTCATTTTTCCCAGGTAATGAGTGATCTCAGACACAAAGAATGGCCTGCTGGTTTTGAGCACCATGGATTACCCCCAGCTTTAGCCCAGCAGTTAGTTTACCGAGACACATGGAGCACCTGCTGGGAGGGGTGCAGCAAGACAAAATGCTTTTTTGTTGTATATGGGGTAGCAAATGGCACATGGCTGACCGCCCATCTCTTAACAACAGGACTAGGAGGTGGGTGCATGTGGGACTGGGACTTGCATCATCCCATTTGGGAAACTGTAACCCCTGCAGGTCCCAAGTATTTGGCTCAATCCCTGGTGTACCCCGCAAATGACATTCTAATAGGCTTGGGAACTTTATGGAGAGGGTGGCCTGATAGTCTCCCCAACATGGTTTGCATAACACCCCTACCAGCAACTCCCTATATTACCCTAGCCCGAGTTTGCTGGGAAGGTCCTGGCTGCTTATATCATCCTAACAGCACATTTTGGACCTCCTGCACCAGCTGTTGTGCAGAGCCTCAAGATTTCCAAGGGGAATCAGCTACCCTATATGTCCACGACCAGGAAACCACCTTAATGTGGCCGAAAACCCAATTAGAAAGTGTCACCATTAACCTAAGTCTTCCAAAATCCTGGGTTAAAGATGTAGATACGCCCCAGCTAAAGAGATGGGGTGAAGTAGCGGCCTCCATTAAAGGTTTTTTTGAAGATGCCCAAAAAGGAAAATAACGTGCCCTCATAGCTCAAGAGGAAGGGAGAATTATTAAATGTGCTACTAATATTCCCCCACTATGTAA